AAACTGGATTCAAATATTAGTTCTTCCAAGGCAAACCTTTATGTCATAGCAGAACTTTCCTCAATGAACAATTTATATTCTAGTACTTTCAAGTGTTCAGCTTTTAGAGGATACACAGAAAAATGGATTTGAACGAGAATGTCCAACAACTGCTTCCATTCAAATATATTTTTTATAATCTACTTTTAGTAGATCAGATGCACTGTTAACAATTCATTTGATGTTTTAGGAAAAGAAAATTCTTCGGTGGAAGCCTTTTGAGATATGTAAATCTGTTAGGAAAACTAACAGATGGAAGGTCTTCCAGTTTGGATGTATCAGATATGACACAAGACAGTTTTGTTTCTGAGGCAAACACAGAGGTATCCCTAAATAGATGGGATATTAAGTATTCTTTTGTGTTTTTTCTGCTTTAGAATGTGTGGTCAAAATACCAAAGGAGTGCCTTCAGACTGCTCTATTGCTTATTCTTGTAAGGAATAGACCTTGAATAAAAAACTATCAGATTTTTGACTTTGTGTTGGCAATAGCATTTCAAATGGAGGAAGGGAAAATACATTTATCTAATGATAACTTCTTTCTTATTTTAAAACAAGGCTAGAAGACAATGGTTCAGAAAAGAGCAGGTAAGTGCTGAGTTGCATCATAGGCATGGGCAATGTAAGCCTGTCTGCACTTCACCATCATTTTTGCCTTAAATGTTTCAGTATAATCAGCGGTATGGTTGTGTGTGCCATCTGTGTCCACACAGTGCTGGGAAGTGAATGCTTTCTACATAGACTGTGAACAAGAATGCCAATTAGGGTCTGCTGTGCTGGTGATTTCTTGGGTAGACTTCTACGCACTGAAATAACTAATTAATGTCACATAAGGCATAGAATATGTTAAACAGTATCAACTCAGTCAATTTATCACAGCTTTGCTGAACTGAGGTGAAAACTTCCTTATCCCACTCCAGTTTGTTGAATTGTTTAGCTCGTTGACTATGAACATGTATTTGCTCTTGTCATGTCCCTTAGGGAAGATTTTTTCCCTTGTATTTTTTGCATGATTACAAAACCTCTGAAAGGTTTCACAAGTTCTTAACAGATTTAAGAAGAGATTTTTTGCTTGTTTCTTTAAAGACTGTCTCCCAGAAGACTTGAGCCAATTTCTTTTCAGTTCTTATCCTTGCCTTGCTTTAAAGGGCCTGAAAAAGCTCACAAAACAAATTACAAACATACCTTGCAAGGCTGCTAGATTTGATTAGAATGTGATGGTGATTCTACATTGTAGAAGAAGATGACATTTCAGATATACCTACCTGCTTGTTCCTGCTGTGAAGTGGGGATTCTCTAGAACAAGAATGTTTGCATCCATGAGATGCTTAAAATTATGTACCTTATAAGTATATGTATTTTTTGATAAGTTATATATATATATGTATGCAGAGAATACGAGCACATAATTTATATAATGGAGAAACTGAGAATAAGTTAAAATACAAATAGTATTAATGAGAACACTGGTAAGCAATTCAAAGAGTTCAAGATTAATACAATTGCTAGAAATTCTAGTATTCTCTTTTGCTGAGATGGCAGACAAACCAGAATTTGTGTGAACAAGAGGGAAAACAGTTTCAACCTATGCTACCTTTTTTGTCAGGTCTTCCCTTTCCCAACCTCCCTCTGAGCTACCGTCACCAACAGCTTCCCTTCACTTGACTCTCTCAGCACTAGCTGTGCAGCTGGGCACAGGCCACGTGCATAAAAATGTGTACTAGCTTTCAAATATGCCCAAGAAACTGCATCTCAGGCAAACGTCATTACTGTTAGTGGAAAAACCTAACATTCAGTATTAAACTTTTTTTTTTTTTTTTTTTTTTTTTTTAATTAAGGCCTCAGAAAACTCAGTCTGCTTTGTAGGTGCTGCTGATGCCCTTAAAAAGTTACTGTATGACCAACTTGTATGGCCAAATGGGACATAAGTGACTTTGACCTGAATCTTTGGTCTTTCTGATAGAAATAGGAACTTAGGAGGGTATTTTACTTAGATCATGCTGTTTTGTGTGGGTTTCATCATGAGTACCTCTCTTAGAAGATGAATGAGTCATTTTAGCTATCCATTTTTAATACTGTGAGAGATGGGGCCTCTCCCCCCCCCCCTCCCCCAAACAAGAGTTTTACTTTATAGTATTAAATTCACTGAGATTTATGAAAAAAGAATAGGAAAGAGTAGTGAATTTGTGAACAGTTAGTGATATTTCTGGGAGATCTGGAGAAAAGTAGGATAAGGTGGAGGATCTAATTTCCATCTGCAACTACTGCTTACGGGGAAGGCAGAACCACGCTCTCCTCAGGTGTCCAGAGAAAGGATGAGTGGCAACAGACACAAGTTGCAGCAAGGGAAATACTTACTAGGAAAAAAGAAGGCGTTCTCCATAATAAGCAGTAGTCAAAATTGAACAGTTTTTCCAGAAAAGTCAGAATCTCCATTCTTGGGGATCTTTGAAACTTGGCTGGACAAGGTGCTGAGGAAGCTGCTCTAGCTTTTAAGTTGTGATGCCTTGAGCAGGGGCTTGAGCTACATCATCTCTAAAGGTCCACTCCAACCTAAAGTACTCTGTATACAGTGATATTTCTAAGTCATAAAATTTATCTGGTTCCCCATCTGAAGTGTTAGGTTTGCCCTTTTGATTTAAAAATTAAATAATTTAAACCTGATTTCCCCCTGGATTTTGCATCAAAGTTAGGAAGTATGATACATGTGTATGATTGTTTTTGCATCAGGTACTGAAGCAATTTAAAGTTGGGTTAGAGTACAGTGCTCTGTAAATCCAAATGCTGAGAGTAAGTTAAAAAAAAAAAAAAACAAAACCACTTTTGATATTTTGTACATTGTTTTTCTTAACTCTAATAAAAATAACATGAATTTCCCTAAAAGAAGTTTTTATTAATGAAATTTAAACTGTTTAGCATGGTAAATATTTACTTTACATACCATGAGGTTAACATTTGAATATTTTTAAAATAACTATTATATACAGTGTGTTTTGGACCGTGGTCCCTTTTATGTGATAGAATAGATGTTATTATTGAATTTATAGAGCAGGTTTCTGCAAAATTATGGATGTTACTGTAGATTGATCACAATATTGCAGGACATGCAATCAAGCTCAGTCATAGATATTGGTGCTAAGCTTATATTGAGGCAAGTATTTGATATATCAATCAATGTGATACCATGAAAGATTGATTGAAGTTGATCATACCATAACTCATTTTTGCTATGTGAAAAAAAAAAAAAATAGGGGAGGCTAATGAAAAAAGATCTCTCCACTTGGAATATTTAGTTTCCACAGAATGTCTAATGTTCTTTTAGAAGTATTGAATAAAAGTGGCATTGTTTCACTGCTTTCCTCAAATTGCATGAAAAAAAAAAAAAAAAAAAACAAAAAACACACACACACAAAAATATTTTGCTGCAGTAGTTTCTGCAAGTAAAGATAAATCTACTGGAGAGATCAGGACAAACCTATTACCTTACAACTTTGCCTGTTTATTTCAGAAAGATCATTAAAGCAATGATTTGGGTACTCATGTAGTTTACCTAGCTTTGCTTCTTATCCATGTCTGAAAGATAACTGTGTGAAAAGCCTTGTTTCTTTTTCAGCTTTGAAGCTTCTGACATCCAGGAAGGAAACCCAAATAGTTTAATTATTTAGAAAGGGAAATGTAACAGCGATTGGAAACACTCTGTCATAACATGAAGTGAATATTCATCTTCCTAAGAAACACTTCTCTTTAAGAAAATGTATGAGATTCTGTCATTGGCTGTTTAATAATTCCCGAAGTTGGGTGATTTACGCCAGACCTGGAGAGCGCTGTGTTTGCCTGCCATCTGTCCCGGCTAATCTCTGAATTCCATCTACAAACGTGGACGACTTACGACTTCCCTGATTAATGTCATCTATCATTTTCTTCATAACACAGAGCAATTAATCTCACCCTGTCCCAGGGGTCCGACGCAGTAATAGGTTTTGAGGGAGAAGCAGCCTGCAAAAGTCCTTTTTGGAAATAACACCTTTTCCCCCCTCCCCTTTTTTTTTTTTTTTTTCCTTCTTATTTTTCTTTTTCTCCCCCAATCTCCTCCTCGTTTCACACCCCTGACGGCGCCCCAGCGCCAGGAGCTCCCTGACCCCGCTCTGGCCGTGCGCCCAGGCGCGGTGCCCCCGCGCCGTCCGTCCGTCCGTCCGTCCGTCCGTCCGTCCGCCCGCCCGCCCGCCCCCGGGGCCGCGCTGCCCAGCGGGTGAGCTCGGATCCGAGGGGGCGGCGGGCAGGTGCCCGCTCCGGCCGGAGGAGGAGGAGGAGGAGGCGGAGGAAGAGGAGGAGGAGGAGAGGGCGGCCGCAGCTGCATTGCGGATGGAGCCGCCGGCTCCTGGGGAGGGGCGGCCGGGCCGCCGCGTGATGCCGGGGGGGGTGGGGGGGGGCGGGCGAAGGCCCGCGGAAGGGCGCGGGCGGGAGGGAGACGGAGCCGCCGCGTCCCGGCGCGGTGAGTGCGGGCGGGGTGCGCGGCGCGGCCCCGGGGCGCCCCCCCGCGCCCTCTCTCTGCGCGGGGAGCGCCTGCCGCGGGTTCGCTCTGCGGCCGCGGTGCGCGCGGAAAGGTGCGGGGAAGGCGCGCGGCGGTGCGCGGGGGCAGCGGCGGGCGGCAGCGGGCGCTCACCCGCGCTCCTCCGCCCGCGCCCCGCGCTCCGTCCGCGCCGCCCGGTTCCGCCGGGAGCTGCCCGCGGGGCCGGGGAGCGGTGCGGGACCCCGAGCGGCCCCGGCCCGGCTGAGAACGGGCCGGGACCCGGCTGGTCCGGCGGGGTCGGTGCGGGCTGTCGGTGCCGCGGAGTTGCGAAGGCGGTCGGGCGCCCGGCTGGGCACGCTGCTTGGGGGGGGGGGTGGGGGGGTGGGGTGTGTGTGTGTCTGTAGCTCTTCTGCAGAGTTTAACCGTCTCAGAAGCGGCCTGTTCAGCTGTGCTTACGCTCCGAGGGGGAGGGGGGCAAAGCTAAAAAGCGTGACGCCAAGCCATGTCTATAAAAAGCAAAGAATACGCTGGGCGCAAAGAAGCCGTCAGGAGAGGGTTTGTCAGGCTTCCCATGGGCGAGCCCTCGGTTCGGGGGTGAAACTGTCAGGTTGCTTTCCGAAAGCAAAGAGTTGCTGTCTCTGAAAGACATTAGGAAGAAAAAAAAAAAAAAATCTCATTTGTCAGATTAATTTGTGCGTGTTACGGGAGTTGGGTTGTAGCTGCTCCCTTTATATGCTGGCAGAAGTACAACCCTGTGCCTGGAAGCGTTCCGTGCTGTTAACTTACGTGGTTATAGGGTGTTTTGTAACAGGACTGGTGAAGCTGATGGTGCAAGAGTAAAGAGACGTGTGAAAAGAGAGCAGAGGGGATGGGGACAGGTTTATATCCCATACATTGAGAGTTCTTCTGAAGGATTCTCAAACAACCAAAAGGAAAGTAAATTAAAACGTCTATTTTTTTTTTTTTTTTTTAAATCACTCTTACAGTAAATGCTGTTGGCCTAAAATTAAGTTCAAGTTGATGGTATTTTAATAACTCAAGTAAATTGTGGTATTATGGAAACTGAAAAAAAAAATAGTTCTGGGTTATGGATGTGGTTTTGTGTGTAGTATGCACTATTTAATATATAACACTAAGGTTGGGATGCTTAATTCTAAGTTAAAATTCTGGCATGAATACATTTAGCAATTTACAAATCAGCACCGAGTTTGATGGATCTGCACTGAAGGAAGTTGTTTTAACAGACTCTTGTACTTCATTAAAAATGTCCACTATTTAAAAGCTGATCAGCTCATGCTTTAGTTTTAATGTGTGTAGGATAACATATTAAAATTCTTTGCCACTCATGTATAGGACCTGTCCTGCCCTTTCCTAACTTTAGTCCTCTTTTCTGAAGATCCTATTGCGAAAGCCTTTTCTTCTGAGAGGTCTCTTGGAGGGCATCTGGAAGGCAGTGGGGGATGAATGTTATCCAAGTTGCTTGAGAGCAGCATGCTGTGCTTTGGGAGAAGATGATTTTTTAGGTATGTGTCTGTGACGTGGTACTGTTTTGGCCATGGTTTTATTTTAAAATGACTTGGTTTCTGTTAAGGCCAGGGACACAATATTAGATAATAATATAAGACTTTTTAAAAAATCAAGATTTATGTGAGTGGTTAATTTTGTTAGACCTGTTCTGACTTGAGATTCAGCAGCACTGTAGAGAAGTTTCCTTTTCTTACCCGAAGTTATCAGATATTTCACTGGTTTCATGGCACTACTCTGGAGTAATGCAAGTTTTCTGGTGAAACGGCACTTGCCCTGCTTTGCCCAGATTTTTTGTCCTTGGAGCAGATTGAGGTTTAATAGTGTTTGTGACTTGTCTTTGTAAGCTAAAGAATTTAGGGCATCTTTAGCAACTGTCACTTTATTCCTGTTGTTTTATAATTCATTTTACTGGGCAGTACAACATACCAGAAATTCCAGCTGTGGTTAGGCACTTGGATCTGCATTTATCTTCCCACATTGTGCATTTTATGACAAGAGGGAGTAGTGAGAAGCTGACAAAGTGATAATATTCTGACACAGTAATTCTATAGGTTATGTATCTTGTCAGTGTACCATATATTACAGCATTTGTACATAGTGCATTTGTTACAGCTGGCCATAAGAGAGGGGGAAGGGGACTAGAATGCCCTCCTTAAAATCCACATGGGAACAACAAAGTTTTTATTTGGATCCTATTGAAACATTAATGTGGTCTGGGGAGAAAGGGATAATTTTAATGGTTAGTTGGTACTTGACACTAAAAATCTTACTGAATCAATGAATTCAACTGAAGTAGCCAAATCCCATGCTTTCCATTCTTAGTAGTTCCTTTGGTAACTACTTGGTCAATACGAGTGGGGTGAAATGCCTTGTCACTTATCTCTCCCTGACCACTCTAAATTCTAAAGATGCAAGTCAGTGCTTTGCCACACTTAATCAATAGTTAATCAATGTATCAAAAATGTATTCAGAATGTAATCAGGCAGACAAAGCATTTCAGTTTTTTTCTTAACAGCTTCAAAACTGTATTAAATTAGTTCTTTTCCGTAGCATAGTCTAACTTCTCCAGCTCTATTTTCAAGTGAAAAGACAATGTGTAGATAATACAAGGGATATCCTGGGATTTGTTTCTTTAATAATATGAAAGAAAATCTTGCTTCTTTATTTATTATCTCGTTTGGTTGTGACTGTTACCTTACAGGGTTTGAAACCAGGATTGAATGAGTGTATGGTGAAGGAGATGCAGGAAAAGATGAGCTAGGATGCTGATATGCACATACATCGCAGGTTTCAGTCTGCTATTCTGGATTGTTCTGATTTAAAAGTTACTTTTTCTTCCAGAAGCAGGACTATTAATGAGCTAAATATGTTCAGTGTCTTTGAACTGTTAGTTTTACTTCTCAGAAGCATAGAGTGCCTGTCAGAACTGTGCACTGCCCTCAAACTACCACATGCAAGGAAGATATCCAAATAATACAAGAAGTGGTTTTCAGATTTATTGCAATTTTCAGACCACTGATAATTTTCCCTTGGAATCAATTTTCCATTTAAATCTTGCTGTCAGGAGTCCCATTTTTCTTAATTATGTATATTAGACCTCTTGGAAGTCATTTTCATATTGCAGGTTGAAAATTACTGTTGTAAAATTTGAGAATACACTTTAACTTTCAGATGGTTGAATGGTGGTATGTGGATGTGTAGCGGCTTTCTTGAAATTTATGAATGAAAACCAAGTCTGTCCACAGTTGTCCTTTTCTCCTCTAGTGTACATTTGGCAAAAATGTTGATATCACAAGTTGATGAAATTGAGGCTTTGGAATGATGTGGTAATTAATTAATTACTCCTCATATTCATATATAGATATATCATGCACATAAAATTTGTTCTGTGGTAGAAGTTTAGGGACAAAATAAAGGAAATAATCACCTGGACTGCCAATGTAATGTAGCAATGGAAAAAGCAAAATCTAACCTTGTGATGCCTGGGTAGAGAGGGTTCTGACAGATCTAATAAAAATATTAGTGTAATCTCACAATAACTTAATGTTGTGGCTTGAGCCCAGAAGGCAACTGAGCACCAGGCAGCTGCTTGCTCAGGAATGGGAAGGAGAAGATACAAAAAAGACTTGGGGATTGAGACAAGGACAGGGAGGGATGACTCACGCATTATAGTCAGGAGCAAAAGACAGACTCGTTCAGGGAAGAAAAAGAACATCAGTTTAATTCAAACACTGACAACAAGAACACTTAACAAACAGAGTAGGACAGTGAGAAATACAATCACATCTTTAAACCACCTCCCCCCCCCCCTTCTCTTCTTCCCAGGCTCAGCTTTGCTGCCAATGTCTCTACGTCCCCCCCCACCCCAGAGGCACAGAGAAGAGCAGGGGATGGGGCTTATGGTCAGTTCCACTGCTCCTTCCTCCTTGGAGGGAGGACTCCTCACACTCCTTCCCTGCTCTGGTGCAGGGTCCCTCTCACAGGTGACAGTCCTACACAAACTTTATCCAACATGAATCTTCCTCGTGGGCTGCAGCTCTTCCTGAGCTGTTGCAGCATGGATTCGTCCCATGTATTGCAGTTCTCCCAGCACTGAACTGCAACAGTGGAGGCTTCTTCCTGCAGAGTCCTGGCCTCCTTCAGGTTTAGTCACCTGTGTGGGGTCCTCCACATGCTGCAGGTGGGCATCTACTCTGGCACACCTCCCTCCCCCTCCTCCTTTCTTCCACTGTCCTCAGTGTTGGTATAGGTGTCTCCCTCACAACTCCAACTCTTCCTCCCAGGTTCCCCTTCTTAAATATGTTATCACAGAGGCACAGCCACCATTGCTGATTGGCTTAGCCTTGGCCAGAGGTGGGTCTGGCTTGGAGCCAGGGGAGCTTCTAGAAGCTTCTCACAGGGGCCATCGCTGTAGCTCCCTCCTACCACCAAAAAGCCTGACACACACACACAAACCCAACACGCTTAGGATGAGCTGAAATGTTTTGATCACATCCTCAAGAAGAAATAACTAAAATTGGATCAGATGCTGAGAAGAGCTAAAAGGGTGGTCTGAATATATAGTGAGCCTGCCTTGTCGTAGAGATAAGGGAGATCATGGTTTGACCAAGTGAAATGAAAGCTACGTAGGATATGGACTCCATCTGCAAACTCGGGAGGGGATCAGCCGAAGGGAAGCGAAACCGTGTGATAAAGGACATTGCTGGCACAAGAACAATGGAGTATCTACTAGCCCTGATAATATTTTCTTGCAGAAATTTGGAGAGCAGCCCCCTGTTAAAGCATGTGGGTTCTAAAACACTCAGTGGCAGCAAGGAGGGGTGGGGAAATACTGCAGAAGTTTTGAGGTGGAGTTAGTCTGTTTTCCAGAAGGGATTATATGCTTAGCACTGGTATGGGCCCAGGGAAATGGTTGCATTTAGCTTCTGTCAAAGCTTTAAATGTCATGCCACTCAATGTGCCAATCCAGTTCCCCTTCAATCTGTTTAAAACAAAAGCTTCAGAAACCCTTCATTCTCTTTTGGTGCTTGCCAATGTTTAACCCCTCTTGAGTGACTTCTCTTCTACGTCAGGTTTAAGCTGCTTGTCTGCTCCTTAGCAGGCTAAAGTCGCGCTGTGTGCATCCTGTCTCTCTATTCTTGTTTCTTTTGCCTGTTTTTTCAGCAGCCCTCTAGGCTCTCTCATTCCTCTGTCTGTGCTTAGGACTGGCTCCCCTGCTATATGGCCATGCTTATAAATTCCCCATGAAAGCACATAATATTCAAAATCCTTTCCATTCATAGCCTTTTCATAAAAGGAATATAAAAAAATAGGCAATGGAGACTTTTTTAGTCATTCTTCTTTCACCCTAAAGTATCAAGAGCAACAAGGAAAGTGTCCTCAGTAGTTTGTGGAGCTGAGAATCTGCTAACTGTGATAGAAGTTTAAAAGAAAAGGAAAGGCAAGTTTATAAGAGTTTTAGTCTGGGGAATCTTGTTCTTTTTCTCTCTTTTCTTTTTGTGCAGTGCATAAGAAAATATTATTTTGCTTTTGTGTGGCATGCCATCATCTTCAGCAGAACTACTCAAATTTCAGATAATAGCACAGGTTCTGTTTAGCTCTCAGACATTTCTTAGAGATGTCTTTTGGATTAAACCAGTAGCAACCATCGTAGAGTATGTGCTGTTTGTACTCTTTCTGGTTAAAGTCAGGATGACAAAGTTTGGGAAATACTCCTCTGTTGCTGGGCAGATAGTTAGGTAACCTGTAAACTTTGAGACTACTTGTTTGTCCATTTGGGTAGAAATGAGTTTAGTTCTAATAGAATTTTATTTAGTAGAAAGGTATATTACATGGGTAGTTTTAAATATCATAGATTCCAAATGGAGCAGGATACGCGACAGTAGCCCCCGCATCCTCTCTCCTGGCACATTAGAAGATCAGCGATGTCTGTAGTATTATGGAACTGGAAATCCAAAAGGCATCAGATAGTTGAGTTTGAAGCGTGGTCATCTTCACTCTGGCCAATGTGGAAAGAACTGTGAGAAACATGTTTAAACTATTGTTAGGAAACTTGGATGAATTTCTGGAAATATTTCACCATGTTGCTTTCTTTCTGGCTTTTTATTTTCTTATTCTTGATTGATACCCACTTTTTTTTGTTTTTGTTTTTCTTTTTTTTTTTTTTTTTTAAGCAGCTTCTCTTCCTGTTTGGTTACAAATAACTTCTTTCTGCCTACTCCTGTGTCTTTTAGTATCTGCAACCACAGAGCTAAGCCAATAGAAAGTTTAAAGTTGAATTTTTAAGCAATGCTGTTGATGTGTAAAACTTGTAAGTATTTAAGGTCCATTAGTATTGTATTTAAATGTCTATGGGTAACTTACAAAAAAAAAGTATATTATGAATGGTATTTTTTTAAAATGATGTTAAGACTTCTGGGTAGAAACTTCATGAAGTATTTAGTGTTACTTTTGCTTAACAAAATTTCAACTAGGTTGTAAAATCATTTAATTTAGG